TCCCTACTGGGGGTGCCTAGTGACAACTAGGATCCCTTCTATATCAAGGAATAAACAATTGAATTGAGAAGCTTATTTAGGACTGTTAAATAAACACACAAGAGACCTTTGCCTCAAACTTATCACCTCAACCCCAGCCCCCCTAACCCCTCTACTGGGTGGAGGGCGTCAGTCCCACCCCTCCCCAGCCAGGCTTTTAGGCTTACAGTTTTATCTTATGTATATCTCAGACTAAGTTGGGAGCTATAATTTCCATTGCTGAATCCTTGCAAGACAGCCAATAATTTGAATATAGCGTCATTTATTTTTTGCTAGAGATAAAAAAATTAGTGCATTGGTGTGCAGTACTGTACTACATTTTATAAAAAGTTTTTCAGCTGCTTTTGGGTGATTTACATAGGATTTCTTAGTTAAGCTGGAGGGCACATGTACAATTTGATTACCAAAATTGTTTGTCTGGGTTCAGAATTATAGCATGTTTATATTAAATTATCGGTCTGTTACAGAATCCAAGCTATTTGATATATTCACCCAGGTCATTCCTGGCTTTTTTTGTAAGAAGCTTAGTGCTTAGGGAAGTAATATACATGGAGACCTGGGCCTGTACCAACTGTCAAGCGTACCTCCCTCTGCGTTCGCACCTCTCTCTCCCCATCTGCTGGCGTGCTGGGAATCCTTGTAAAACAGTGAATAATTTCAATATAAATTCATGTATTTTGCACAAGGGTAAATTAATCACCTGTATCATTACAGTAGTGATTTAAGAGTAAAAGTGTATATGTCTTGTTATATAGTATTCCACATACACATAAGTAATATATAAAAGTTTATGTGATGAGTCGCTGGCGTCCATTTCGGTTAACGTCACGTTTCCAAAGCGATATCTAGGGCGTTAACGAACTTATCTTCTATATCAACAATAAGCGTGGATAAGATAAGATGAGTTGTGAACCCTAACCTTTGGATCTGGGCACGACTGAGCACTGTTAAGATATACGTCTGCTATGAGCCGGTGCACCTTCTGGTTCGTTGGTCTCAGATTCACTTTCTTCGATTGTATTCGAGGAGCCGACCTGCTAAACCGGCATTGAGTGCCCTTCATTATTACATAGCGAACATACCCAATCAGGGTTTGCAGGCCTTCATGTCAGTGTGACGGTCTTTTCCACATCTGTAACACTGTTCGGGTTTAGCAGTCGGAACGTCGTGAACGCCAGTCTCGTCGGTATTGCGACACTTTGGCCAGAGTGGGCTTAGTAGACCCTGGTATCTCAGCGCTGCTTGCGTAAGCATTTTCAGAAGCTCTACAAATGTCTACCAGTAATGCCTTCTGTAGGTCTAGGTCCTTCAGGGCCTCCTCATCACCAGTGCCAATAACCACTCTGTCTCGTATCCAGTTGTCCAGACACACATCACAAAAATCACAAAGTATCTCCTTGATGCTGCACAGGAAATCCTCAAAGGACTCTCCCGCCTCCTGAATGCGGGAATAAGATCCTGTCAACAATGATGTTATGCTGGCGTCGTGAAGTGGGCCTCCATTATGGCGTTGTCTTGAGATCCGCCCCATCAGCCACAGCAAGTCCATCCTCAGTGTTCTTGACCAATGGCGTCGTCCAGCAAGCGCCACTAAAGTCGATCTCTGCTCGTCAGGAGGTAGTTAGTGAATCTTGGTAGCTTCACATATCCCTCGAACTTATGCCGCCAGGCGTCAAACTCCTCAGGGAGGCGGAGAGAGCGAGAGGTGTGGTGCAAAAGTCGCTGTGAGGTAACTTGACATGACATGAGGTGCGATGCATCTGCATCGCCTCCTGACAGCGGTGTGGCAGCTCCCCCTCAGCGCTGCTGTCCACTTGCCTTGAGCTCGCCAGTCCTTCCAAGACAGTGGTCAGGCGTTCCTCTCTCTGTGTGCTTCCTCCATTTGACTTGCCATGGGTGTCAACTGCTTCAACTGTTCCTCCATTGTGCGCATGGTTGATGTTGTAGTAAGCCACAGACGGTAGTAGGTGAGGCAACTAGCAGCAGATCCTACTCACTGCGTCAGGTTTGGTTTCTCTTCACTCATGGTGGGGTAAGGAAACACGTACATGAAGAATTGCTTTGTTGAGGAACTTGTACAGGTGACGGCAGGATTCAATGAATGACTACTGTATATTACTTAACAAACAAGTCAACTTCTACAATACATATAGGGAATGGAAACTGTCTCATTCACTATTGAACAATGAAGCATGAGACTATCACATTCACACGCAGACCACAGAAGGGCAGCACTCATACTGGAACAATACTGATACGCACATACACCTAGCAGACATCCTCCACGAGACCTCTAGGTATGTGACATAATTGTCTCCCACACCCACCCGTACCCTTCACGGCTCCACACCTCCCACCCACAACTCTTTTAATATGGTTAATAACAATTAAAAATACAGTAATATCTCCGTTAACCAGAATCCCACGGAACTCTCAAAGCCGAATTTAAATTTTCTCGGAAAATCATTCCCAAAGCAATTTTCTAGAAAATTTTGGCTATGGGAATTTTCCGAGGCTATTTTCGGAAAATTCTGTTTCCCGATACCTAGAAAATTCCAGGGAAGGAGTTTTTCTGGGTTTGAGAGATGATGCAATGGGCAATTTCTGGAACTTCAAGAACTTTTCCGTTACCTGGAAAATTTGGGGATCTGGGATATTTTTATGGTTTCAGAGATGATGTAGCGGAATTTCTGGAACTTCGAGAAAATTTTTCGTTACCTGGAAAATTCGAGGATGAAATTTTTCGGCTTTGAGAAGTGTTCGTTGAAATCTCATTCCGGAAGTGCTCTGCAACAATTGCTATGGCTAACGGGGATATCACTGTATATTATTTGTTTGCATGTAATGAATAACGATTTTTGTTTTTCAATTGTATTGGAGTAAAAGTACTTAAAAATGTGAGTAATTTATAAGAAGTAAATACCCAAAAATTGTTGGCTTAGAAATAGAGTAGTGGATGAGTGGAACAAGTTACCAAACATCATCATTATCTCAAATACGCTGGACAGCTTCAAACAAAGGTTGGATGGATATATGAGCAATAGGGGTTGGGTGTAAATGGGACTGCCCAGTATGGGACAATAGGTCCGCTACAGTTTCCTCCTTTCTTATGTTCATATGAGTACAGTACACAAGTAAAATTATTTAGTTAAAACTCTGCAGGTCGGTAACATGAGACCCACTCATCCCTTACCACACCTCCATTGCAACATTTCTTATGTTTTTTCATAAAAGAATTGTGACAGTGAAGTGAGCAGTGTAACTTTGAAAATGTCTGGTAAAAATTTTGCTTACCATCTTCAAGGCCACGACAAATGCTACACCTCGAGTCTCCACTCTCTAGACTCCCTAAACTCTGTGTGGGAGTCAGGTTGAATCTCCCTCCACCTTAAGAGTCCCTTAGCCTTGAAGGGGACATGTGATGACCAGACTTCTTCTTAACAATGTGGTGAGTGTTGTTTTATTGTGTTGTACGATTTTTTTTTCAGTGATACATATGGGTGTCCGACTGGCAAGACCTATCCACTGAAGCCAATGTTATAACAAACCTGATTTACGATATTTTGACCTGTGATGGAGTTTTCAGGAACCTAACCCCATCACAAATGAAGTTTTACTTGAACATATATAGAAGAAACACTAACAAGAATAGAAAAGAGGTGAGGATGGTGATCAGTTGTTATGTTCTTGGCCAACTATTTTATTTATTTATTTTTTATTTTATTTTTTTTTTTTTCGAGGATTAGCCCACCGGGACAGTCACTGACCCATATTGAGGCAGGGGTGAAAATGCAATAATAATAATAATAATAATAATAATAATAATAATAATAATAATATAATAATAATTCATAATAAATAAAACTTATACAAATAAAAATTTTTAAATAAAATAATAAATCAATAATGATAATAATAATAACAGCATTGTAATAATACTAATAATAAAGAAATACAAAGATGAAAAAAAGATCAAAGCGTGAGAAAAAATATTTGTATGTTGTGTTGTCAATAGTAAGAGAAACAATCGAGACCCTGCATTATTTGCTCTTATTTTGTACATTAATGTTATTTTTGGGGAGGAAAATGGAAATAACTTTTGTCACCAGAAATGGATCCTCCATTTACTACTACAGTATACTGAGCTTGTTTAATTTTGATTACAGGTTCCATCCCTGGAAAATGACCATATCATGAAATTCCATGCTTGAAACCTATTTTCCCATTGACTTCCATTATAAAACTGGAGATGCATTCCTAAGGAATATTTTTGGGCTCCAAAAAAGTAATTAAAGCACTTTTATGAAAGAAAATAAACATTTATAAACACATACAATACAGTACATTAAATAATTTATGATATACCTTCTTAAAACATCAAGTTTAATATCCAATGTAATGCCTTTGCGGCTTCTTTTTGCACTACTGGGGTCACTTCCACTTGATGGCCTCTTTCCACTGTACTGTACTTACTGTATGTTTGTAAAAGTTAAATCAAACTGTTGGGGCGGGAAACATGCGCGCACACTGGATGTAAACAATGGAGTAACTCCTTGTGGCGATGCCACGCTTGGCGGTAGCAAACACCAAGAAATCCACGCCAAACAAATTATCATTTTTCACAAAAAATTATTTTATATAGTGATTTTTATTTTAAATTGTTAAAATTTACCCCAATTTCTGTAAAGGCGGATTTACAGGCTGTAACGCGAAATTATTGGTCATAATTTACAAATTCCGTAAGAGCGAAATTCCGTAACTCGGGGGATGCCTTACTACATTTCTAATTCATGAATTGGCAAGGGAATTTTTTTCACCAGACTTTAGCTGACCTTCAGTGGTTCATAACTTTCCATGGTCTGGCACCAGTTAGGTTCTGAAAGTGCAAGAATAAAAGAATTCAACCTGGACTTGAAACCTTGAAATAGTATCATCTAGTTCCCATAACTGTGAACAATAACTTACCCTATCAATTTGAGGCACCTAAGCTCCATGAAAACACGAGATGGATGGGAGGTAGGAATGATGTGCTTGATGGCAAAATGGCGACGCCCATTGATGGTTGTAGTATGTTTGGTACGAGCCAAGTACACAGAACTGAAGGTGCCATGTCCTATACAGTGACTAATATTGAAGAGTGATTCCAACTGTGGCACAGCATCTTGGAGCAGTGCAATGTTGTCTAGTTCATCATCTACAAGGGAAAATTCATACATTACAATTAAGACACAGGCATAAACACTGTAATCATAAAGAATTTCCTAAAAATAAAGCAACTGAATAATAAACAAACTCGCTACATTCTGTAATATTGTACATGGCATGTGTACATTGAAGATGTTACCCAAGAAATATCCAATAAGGGAGTATACCTCTCCCTTAAAACCATTGTCTTTAATGAGTTGCCACAGTGAGACCATGGCATCAACTAATGGCATAGCAACCAACTTTCTAAGGAAAACATTTAAAAATTATAAAAAAATATTACTGTTTCTTGAGCTACATTTTTTGAGCCTCATAAAAGAGGTATTCATGAACATAATAAAGTACAGTACAGGAATACCCCGCTATTCACAACCCCGATAATAGCGATTAATATTTTAACACCCCTATTCTCAAAGCACATCCCACTTTTTCACAAATAAAAAATTACGATACGCAACAAAAGGGGTTGGCAACCTTTTGAATACGCTGTGCCAGTTTACAATTAATTTCAAATTTTTTACTGCCCCGCGTGCAGAGCTGGATTAAGCCATGTTGAGGCCTAAGCTTTGTCATCCTGGGAGGCCCCAGGCCCACCACCACTTAAAATACAATACAGCCGACTTACGACGGGGTTAGGAACCCAAATCCAGGTCGTAAGTCGAAAATGCTTAAATAATACAGTAATACCCCGCTTAACACGGTTTCGCTTAGCGCGATTTCACGTATACGCGGTGCCTCGCCAGAGCTGAACTTTCACTTAACGCGGGTTTTTTCCATGTATACACGCAGAGTGTCCAGCTCGAGAGCTATTTTTAGATTCGCCCCACCCCCCACCCACCACCCTGCCTGACTGCCTACCTGCCTGTTTTAGCTCATAAAATTCATACAAATTACCCGTCCAGAATATAATTTACATTGCTGGAATTCTTACAATATGATGATCATTTTGAATATAAACATCATAGATTTTGCATTAGACATACAAATTTTAGATATAATGTTTACTCTGAGCAAATATGTTATTTTTTGTGCAAAATATATGACATTTGTATTCAAAATATTCCTGGTCTTACAAGGAATCCAGCAATGTCAATTATATTATCCTAACTTTAGTTTGAGGTATTATTTATTACTAAAAAGGTAAATATTCTGGTTTTCCCACACATCTGGTAGGGAGGGTTGGTGGGGGGTGGAGGGTGGGGGGAGGGAGGGACCGACCGACCATCTGTTACCGTGTGAAGAATTTTTTTTTTTTTATTAACTGAAGATATTTGTTTTAGCTCATAAAATTGATACAAATTACCCGGTCAGAATATAATTTACATTGCTGGAATTCTTATAATTTGATGATCATTTTGAATATAAACATCATAGTGTAGTGGACGTCTCCCCTACAACTGCGTGCCGCATGCCACCTGCTACGTCTTCCCTAGCAACCAAACGAGCGGCCCAGGGGGGGGCGTCGCCAGATGCCACAGTATCCTAGCAACGGAGTCAAAAGACCAGGGCTTCCCACGGTTGACTCACGGCTGCTGTGTATATAAGCTCTGTCTCTCCATTGAGATTCATTCTGCTCTCGGTTCCTCAACAGGCAACACCTCCTCCAAGCAAGCTCCTCGCTGTCCCGTTCTCATTCAACCTGGAGGCCAGCAACAGGCAACATCTTCTCTAACGAAGCTCCTGCACATCTACCTCCTTCAACACGCTACTCACCGAACGTGTCTACTGAGCAGCTCCTCACCACACGGCACCTCCAGCACCAGACTGTCTACCATATAACTTATATTATATAAGAACACCACCTTAGAGTTTCCATTCATCCTGAGTGCTAGACAACATAATATCACGAAACCCTACAAATAATGACCCCCGGAAAAAAGCACTCACACAGGATGTAGGACGGACAGATCTCTCAGCCGACTTTCAACAACAACGTCGATGACTGGCTAGATCATGTGGAAGCAGCCCTCGTCGGCTCACAAGCGACTGACGAGCAAAAGTATGGCGCCCTGCTCTGTGCCTTGCCCACGGAAGTGGCCACGCGGGTCTCACAAACCATTTCCAACCCTCCAGATGACAACAAATTCACTACCCTGCGGGATGCCTTGAAGACGCATTATCAACAGACCAGCCCCAATCTCCTGCAAGATCTATCCTCTATCTCCCTCGGGAACTCAACCTCGGGACGTCTCTGGGAGGAGATGTGTCGGCTGAACTCCCGTCACACAGACAGACTCCCCGACTCTATCCTGCTCCAGCTTCACGCACAAAAGCTACCCACAGAAGTACGCAACATCCTGTCCGCAGTAGATTACTCTATGACACCAGAACTACATGCAACCACGGCAGACAGAATTTTCAACGAGTGCGCTGCTGCACCCCTTGCCGCCACGGTCACACCAGTACCTACCACCGAACTTGTAAGCCGGGTCAACACCCCTCAGCCGAGCAATACCTCACAAGACATCAAGGACCTGTTGCAAACTTTGAACCGCAGGATGGACACCATTGAGCAGTTCTGCTCCTCCATACCCGCTGCTGCGCCAGTTCCTGACTCACACACCACGCCCTACAAGTTCCGACGCACAGCAGCCAGCCCCCAGCACAACAAATATACCCTCTACTGGTATCACCAGACTTTCGGCCGCAATGCTCGAAACTGTGAGCCCTATTGCACCTATTCGGGAAACGGCAACACCGGAGGCTGGTAGACGCCTCAGCCTCCGTCCCTCCAGGCGTCTCATTACTGCGCGTCACCGACCGCACCTCCGGCAAGAAGTTCCTCATCGACACAGGTTCATTGGTCAGCCTCATCCCTCCCTCACTACAAGACAAGTCAAAGCAACCTTCTTATGACCTGTTCGCTGCCAACGGTACCTCCATCGCCTCCTACGGCGTACGCACCCTCGCCTTAGACCTCGGTCTGCCCAAGACTCTGCGTTGGTTATTCGTGATAGCAGACGTGTCTCAACCCATCCTTGGATTCGACTTCCTCACCTTCCACAAGCTCGGCGTCAAACCAAGTCATCTATGCCTCATCCATGAGCCTACAGCACGCAAGATCCAGGGTTCTCGTGCCAGACACACCGACACTATCACCTGTCTTGCGCCTTCCAACGAGTTCTCCTCCCTGCTCGACGAATTCAAGGAGCTTTTCTCACCCCGAGTCTCCCTACCCCCACCACCTACATCGAGAATTTTCCACCACATCGAAATCAAAGGACCACCAGTCTTTTCACGCCCTCGCCGCCTGCGCCCTGAGCTCCTGAACACAGCCAAAGTAGAATTCAACAAACTTCTGCAAGACGGCATCATTCGCCCTTCAAGGAGTCCCTGGGCATCGCCTCTTCACATGGTTCCTAAGCAAACACCCGGCGACTGGAGGGTATGTGGCGACTACAGAGCCCTGAATCTCGTCACCAAACCTGACAGGTACCCTATTCCGCATGTCCAGGACTTTCACCACAAACTTCATGGCAAGACTATCTTCTCGAAGATCGACTTGGAGCGTGCCTTCCACCAGATCCCAGTAGCACCGGCAGATACCCAGAAGACAGCCATCACCACTCCGTTCAGACTCTTCGAGTACACTTTCATGAGTTTTGGCTTACGCAATGCAGCACAGACTTTCCAGAGGTTCATGGACCATATGCATCGCGACCTCGATTTTGTCACCGTCTACATTGACGACATCCTCGTCGCATCTTCGACGCCTGCCGAGCACCGCCACCACCTACAACTCCTTCTCCAACGCCTGCAGAACAACAACATGAAAGTTCATCCTGCTAAGTGCGTCTTTGGAACCTCGGCCATCGATTTCCTCGGTCACAGAGTCTCGCCCAGTGGCATACAACCCCTACCACAGAAGATAACCGCGATTAGGGAGTTCCCCAAACCTGAAACGGCGAAGAAACTCCGAGAATTCCTGGGTTTAGTCAACTACTACCACCGCTTCATTGACAAAGCTGCCACCGTCCTAGCCCCCCTACACGACCTTCCCAAGGGACGCCCAAAGAAGTCTCACAAGTCTCTCATGTGGACTCAGGAGGCTACTACGGCATTCACCACTATCAAACAGCACATTACACGCCTCACCCTCCTGGCCCACCCCGCACCTAACGCCCGGACCACTCTCACAACAGACGCTTCTTCTACTGCAGTGGGCGCCATCTTACAGCAGGAGGTCAATGGAATTCTCATGCCCGTTGCTTTCTTCTCACAACGGCTTCAACCACCACACCTCAAGTACAGTGCCTTTGATCGAGAACTCCTGGACATATACCTGGCTGTCAAACATTTCCAGCACTTCCTCGAGGCCCGTCAGTTCACCATCTTCACTGATCACAAGCCCCTCGTCCACGCCTTCGCTTCAGCTTCCCAGTCACATACGCCTCGTGTCCTGCGCCACTTGGCTTACATCTCGGAGTTCTCCAGCGACGTCCAACACATTAAAGACAGCCACAACGAGATCGCCGACGCCCTCTCTCGTTGTATATCCACCATTCTTCCCTCATCTCCACCCATTGATTATGGGCAGCTAGCCGCGGCTCAAGAGAAAGACGAAGACCTGGCAGCATACAAGACATCCCCCTCAGGCCTCACACTCCAAAAGCTACGACAAACAGTTTCTGCATTCAGAGCTACTGCTCCACGCCAGCCTCCTCGGCGCCCTGAACACATCCCTCCTGCACTACTCACAGCCGAGTATGTTTTCGTCAGGCATGATGCTCACCGCAACCCAGCCTACGCGCCCCTACGATGGACCCTTCCAGGTGGTTACCCATTCAGCAAAGTTCCTGACAATTATCCGGAATGGCAGACATGACACCGTCCAGCAGACCCGAGTCAAACCGGCCTGCCCATCAGGACCCAACAGCACCGTAACAAACTTCGCCTGCACCAGTCTACCGCAGTTACCACGGCGCCCAACACCGCCCGACATTTCTGGGCACCCTCTTTCCCTCATGTACCCTGTTCTGCTGTAGAACC